TAGAAGCCCTGATGGTATTGTGGGCTAGCTCACCTCAGATCCAGGGTTCAAATCCACCAGGAGCTCTCTAGGAGAAAGAGGATACTGTCTGCTCCTATAAAGATGTGCAGTCACTGGAACCCAGCCTAGAGTCTATGAGTTGGAACTGAGGGGATGACAATGCCTTTTTTTTTTTTTAAAAAAAAAAACGGTATGAACCAAACATTTGAACCAAGGGCGTGTTGAGATGTTTGTCCACTAGAGGGAGCAGAGGACTCGCTCTCATCTCCATGGAGTCGGTGCTGACTCAGCGTCCCCTGGGGTTTCCCAGACTGACAAGTCCATGGGAGGAGGAAACCCAGGCTCTCTCCTGGGGCTACTGGTAGTCTTACGCTGCCAACCGTGCAGATCTTGCCCCAATGTATAACCACTACACCCCAGGGCTCCCTTGTGGGGAGCAGAGGGCAGAAGTCAGGATATTCCACCTTGCCAGGAGGAAAGAAATTGGAGTAAATAATGATTTGGGGTGCAGAATACTCAATTTGCCTTGGCAACCTATTTTTCAGTTTCCACCATATTAGACCTGATTATAACTCTGATAGGAACCTTCCAGGATTCACCAGGTTTTCACTCTAAAGAAACCATTAAACCCATCGTGCCGAGCACGGCAGTATCCTCGACACCAGTGATTCTCAACCTTCCTCATGCTGCAACCCTTTCATGCAGTTCCTCATGTGGTGGGGACCCCCAACCATAACATTATATTCATTGCTACTTCATCACTGTCATTTTGCTACTGTTATGAATCGGGGGACCCCTGTGAAAGGGTTATTTGACCCTCAAAGGGGTCGCAACCCACAGGTTGAGAACCACTGTTCTCCACAGCACTACCCCACACCCCAAATCAACCACATTGTGGCATATCTTAAGAAATGCTAGGAACTCTCTCTTTATTAAGCGGCAACCTTGTGCTACAAATGAACTCTCTATTAATGAAATCTCCCTACTAGGTCCCTACTACTGACTGAGACAACCTGAAGTTGGGAAGGGGAGTCTCATATGACAATGAACTCGCCCTTCTTTTCTGGACAGTTCCCTAATGGTCCTTGTTCAGTTTTTAATTCTAATACAAATCCATGTGGGACAAAGGAGGAAATAACATGAATAGACCCATTTGCCTACCGGTTTTACTTTCCATGAACGAGCGATCAGACACTAGTAGAGTTATAGGGGAATCTGCCGGGGCTTTCTGGCTTCGCCGTTCTGTCCCGCCCTGTGGAACGTTAGTCGTCCGAGGGCCTGGGGGTGACTCCCTGTTTACTGGGCCTTTGGAATCTGGCCTGTGACAACGTCCTTGAGAGTGCAAGCGGAGATGTCGATTTGGGGAGGACACGGTTGTGACGGTCAAGGCGTGGACACAGGAGCAGCTTTGGTCTCCAGCTGGGCCAAATCCACAACACCAAGCCCACTGTTATCAAGCGGGGTCTGACCCATTCAGTGTTTGTCGTCATCTTCCCCTGAGGGAGGCGAAGCCCCTGCTTCCCCTCCTCATGCATGACAGGTGGAAAACCAGGCCCCACCTGAGACACATGCGAAGAATGGGGCGGAGATCTGAATTTCTCTGCCCAGTCCATGGACACACCATGAGGAATAAATGCACTTGTTATACTCGAAAAACGTTTAATTTCATACGGTTATTCATTAGAGGACATGAGGTAACGATACTGATAAAAATATATGGTTGTAAACAGAGGGAGGGACACGAAGTCAATTAACTTTATATTGATACAAGGTGTCCAATGATGAGAGGTCAATTGTATCGGTTCAGGAGAAACAATGTTTCAAATGCTCTGATTTGGAAAATATAACTGACTTAGGAACCCTGCCGGCATAGTGGTTACATATTGGGCTGTCAATCGCAAGGTCAGCAGTTTGCAGGCACGAGCCACTCCTGCGGAGAAAGGCTGGGTTTTCGAGTCCTGTGAGGAGTTGTGGGTTCAGAAACTCACGGAGGGCAGTTCTACATTTCCTGGAGGGTTGCTGTGAGTTGGCTTTGACTCAATGGAAGGGGGTGGTCAGTAAGCAGGGAACAAAAACAAAAGGGATCCACGTATTTCTTTTTCCTCTTCAAAGCACACTCACCAGGCAGTCATTGGGGCTATCACACCAGCCTTTGAAGTAGAGAAGAGCAATCTCTTGTCCCTATTTTGTATATTGAGAAAACTACCTGAGAGGAGAGTTAATTAGCCCATTGAATCACTGGTGTTATAAACATCAGAATTAATATAGGAACAAGTTTTCTTAGCGCAGCAGTTTTTCATCGGCCTCCTTGTTTGTATGCAATAGTGTTTGGCAGATATGAGATCCCCAAACCTACAGGAAATTCATTAAATAATTAATCACCCCAATACCATATTTGAGTGCGTACAGTTTGTCACGAGAGGCACCGGGAGGATCCTGAGTCATGGCACCTGTCTTTACAAAAGGGTGGGGGCAGAATAGACCACTCAAAAGCCCAATCTCAGCCCCTCTAGGAAGTAGTCTTCAATGACCCGCGCTGCTGGAGAGAGTGATGGGGTGAGAATTTAGAGATGTTTGAGATGATGGCAGGCGTGGCCAGTGGTAGGAAGTGCATTTCATGCTGGACCCTGGAGGCTAGGAATGGCAGGGGAGAAGCAGAGGGACAAGTGGGCTGAGACCCAAAGGTGGTCAGGAACACAGCCCGTCCGGGAGGATGTGGGGGAGAAGAGCTGAGTAGGAAGGGCAGGTTGAGTTTGGAGAAAAGAAGCAACTATATTGGGAAGGGATGAGAAGAAGTCCCGGAGCCCGGACGGGAAGGCACTGCGGAGTTAGTAAGAAAGTAAACACAGGTGGTGCCCCGTTTCCATTTGGACGACTCCATTTTACGCTGGTTCTCTTAGGAGTTGGATTCCTCGTTAAAAAAGAAAGTTTCCATTATTGCTGCCCTAGCCTGCTCGGTGGCGCTGTTTTGAACGGTAAATCATCACAGCGGACAGCGCTGGAGCCAACATCCGGGAGTGAGGGCATCAACACGTTACATGCGGCACGGCACTGCTTGTAGTGCATATTCCAAAAGATAGGATGTCCATACTCCCACCCCCAGCCCACCCCCAGCACCTGACAGCTGTAAGCGCGGATCATCGCACCCTGAATATAGTGTCACTTGGGGATCCCTGCGATGCAAGTACTGTAAGAGCAAGTTAAACCGGAAGTGTATCAATTACATGCAGGCAGGCAGGTTGAGTGAGTGAAGGTTTTCATCAAATATCTGTGAAATAGATAACACTCACTAGTCCTCCTGTCATGCTTAGAGTCATGTGTGATAATTGAGGTATGAAGTAAGGAGCACTGTGTCAAGGGTGAGGATGGCTACAGAACAGAGGGAGTTACCAGAGGAAAATAAGGAGGAGCAAGAATCCGTGAAAAGGTTTGAGCTGGCTGAGAGCAGAGAGAAAGGAAGGAAGGGCGGTTATTTATTTGGTCGTACGAGACCCTTTAATCTTCACAGTGAGGGCATGGGCCCATCCTTTGCTGCGGTGCATCCTGTGTATTTCGCCTGCTATTGATAATGGCAGAGTAATCGATCCTCCCCATCTACGATGAGCGTTTGATATGCAGGACCTGGAGGATTTTCTTGGGACAAACAAGTCACCATAGAGCCTTTATGGCCTCGTAGTGATTTTAATGGAGTCAGCGCTTCATGTAATAAGCAGAGGATAACGACTTCACTCCGGGTTCCAGAAGAGAAAGCCTTGAAAGGTCGCTTAGAGTCCTCCTGACCCCACGTGAGCATCCAGTCTGGTTTAAGACCTGCCACGCTCCGAAGAGTCCTGTGACCTCACAGACACCATATACTTTCCATTCTCTCGCAGCCTTGAGGCTCTCGTCTGCCCTGGCGGGGACTTCGGGCAGCAGTTGGGAGTCAGAAAGGAAGAGGAATGGCGTTGGAATAAGCCAAGCATTTCTCTGCTAAACCTTGAGAATGAATTACGATGACACTCATCCATCAACTCAAGCCTCGATCGCTAGGAACTCCTGATTCCCAGCGCCTATGTTTTATACCCAAGCGATGAAGGCCCAATTCAGCCATATCTTCATCTATGTGCTTTGAAGAAGCTTAGAGTCTCTTGGTCGGGCTGAGTAGTAAATAAAAATCTAAAATACACCACAAAGTACTGCAAGTACTGTACACTTATAGGACAACAAGATGAAAGCCAAGGACAGGCTGCTAAAGCGGAGCTGCAGGGTGGACTGGAGGGGGAAAGGGTGGGACTGTGGGAGCAGGGGCTTGGAACAGCTTCCAGAGGAAGCGACGCTGGATTGCCCTCCTGTACTTCCTTCCAAGTCGGCATTCCCACCCCTCCTGCACTTTGTGTCTCCCCGTGTTTTGGCTGTCAGGCTGGTGTTTCATCGCCTTTGGGGAAGAAATGTGATCGCAGAAAGCCACCTGGGCTTTGAGTTATAAAAGGCGGTGGCAGGGCTGGACTGGGGCATGCGTGTCAGACTTGGGAAGATACACCATGGGTAAGAGCAGGCTTTTCTGGTCTCAGAGCCTGAGCCAGAGTCCCTGGAGTTTTGATCAGCTGCTTTGAGAATGCAGGTACGAGGGAGACCTGCGTCTGTCCTGGAGAAGCCCTGGGGACCTTTCGTAGGGATAAAGGACGTCATTCAATTACACCAACTCTCTTTAGTTCTAGTCTTTCCAGTTGACGCAAACTTCATAATTTTAAAAAGAAGCTAAGTATGAATATATAAATACACATGTAAATAAATATAGATCTGACTGACAAACACAAGTGTATATATATAATTGCATATAAAACATAAATGATGGCAAATATATATAAACATGTTGTTTTAAGTTTTTTTACATGTACAGTTGAGTCACATTAATTGTGTTCATCATGCAACCATGACTCTACTCTGTGTCCAAATTTCCCCAGCCAGCTGGGAAATCCTTTTTAAACAGCCACACGTAAGGGATACAGAAAAGACCGTACCTCTCCTGAAGTCCTATGGGCTTCATCTTGAAGGGGGAAGGACCCGCAGCGGTGGCAGCTCTGACCTCAGGAGTGCATCGGCCCTGGGGGTCCACAACAACATTCAGCACCTTCGGGGTCAGCTCAGGCTGGACCATGCTGTTCACGGCCTTTGCCTCGGACTGCGTTGGCTGTAACACGATGGGGGATAAGTGGATCTCCTGATTTTTCTCTTTATCTTGTCTCAAGGAAAGCTGCCACTTTTCTTTTAATCTGTAGAGAATCTACAGAGGGAGAGAGAAAGGGCCGTCACATCTCGCTAAGGGAACAGCAGTGCCTCATCTCCTCCACCCAGAGTGTTCGCCGTGGAACACAGAGACTGGGCAGGGGCTGGAATTGCTCCTCTGTCCAAACATCTGCGACCCATCTTTCAGATACGTTTATAACCATAATAACACAAACTCCCAACTCCCTGCCATTGAGTCCATGCCGACCCATTGTGATGCTATAGGACAGGGTAGAGCTGCCTCATCTTTTTCTCACAGAGCAGCTGGTGGATTTGAACAGCTAGCCTTGTGATTAGCAGTCCACTGCATAACCCACTAAGCCATCAGGGCTCCTTTACCACAATATCAGCTCAACAATACAAGCTCATTCATATTTTGCTTATAACACAATGACACTGCACAAAAATGGCAAAGGCACCCTTCCTCACACTCAATGTCATCCCCCCCCCACCAGTATCTTCTCTTTTGACACTCTACAGAGTAAGACCCGACGCTTGGCCTTGACTTATGGAGACTAGGAAAGGTTTAGTTTTCACCTGCTGAACGATCTCTCACCGCTGGTGAAGGACACTGCATGCGTGACCAGGCACTGCCACTGAGCTCCCTGGGCACGTGGCACACCTGTCGTACATTAGAGATGCCTCTGTCTCCAGTTCATGGATGACAAGCCAAAATAAAGGTTTACTGATCAGAAAGGTAAGCCCGGCCTTTTAGGATGCGCTTTCAGTTCTGTGGTATTGAGATTTGTCTCAAAAGGATATATTTTTTGTCTAGTTATGGAAAGAATGTGGCTCGCTTACTTTGGTCATGTTATCAGGAAAGAGAATTGCTAGGGAAAAAAAATACCATGGTTGGCAGGGTGGAGGATGGGTGAAAACGAGGGAGGCGCTTGGTGAGATCGAGGGACATGGTGGCCAAAGCAATGGCTCCAACACTGCAGGGATCATGGAGATGGAACACGGCTGACCAGCGCTCTGTTCCTTCAGCCCATGTCAGGTCTCTGCAGCGGAGCCGACTGGGTGGCAGCTAACAACATTATGGTCAACCTCCACAGTGAATGGAGATGGGCATGAATCTGTTCCCAAAGGGTGTGCTTCAAAGCTCATTTGACTAATTTTATAGAAATGCCAAATGTCAGTGTGATGCGATGGGAAATTTTACTTAAGACCACTGACCTGGAAGGCTTGTCGGAAGAATGGCAATGAAATAAGGTGTGATAAATACACGTATAACCAGAGAGCTACCTCTGAGTTGGCATAGAAGATTAAAAATAAAAAAAAAGCATCTGGCAAATTATCCATCGTGATGCCAATTTCTTGTGTTAACAAATAGCTATATCAGACAGACATTAATGTATTGAGTAACACTTGAAAAAGTGTGTCTCCAAAAACAATTTGGAGAGCAATCTTTCTCACCTACTTCTGCTCTCAGTTTTTACGCCCGCAGAAAAAAGCAGAAGTACCCCTCTCCTCCAGTCTCCACAGAGCTCTTTCAGAAGTGGCCAATCCATTTCAGAAATCATAGGGCTCAACACTATGAACCATTAAGAGTTGGATGAACTTTGGTCACGTTATCACCAATGGCCACACGATGCCCTCCGGTCCCTCTTGTTAGAGCCTTCCCTTCTTCCTTTTCTCACGGCTGATTTCTTTGCTTCAATGTGTGAAACTCAGTGTCCTCCTGCTTCCTCAAGCTTGCTCTCGGAAAATGACAAAGTGACTGCATAAGCTAATTCACAAGAGGTGGCTTCCCAGTTATCTGCCACTGTTTGAATGTACACAGCACAGGCGCTGTTTCCAGCTTTAAAAAGTCTCTAGCCAATTAAACATCCCTACTTAATCCCAAAGGTGTCTTGGTGGCATAATGGGGTACCCTTGGGGCTACTTAAGTACCGCAAGGTCAGCAGTTCGAACCTGCCAGCCGCTCTGTGGGAGAAAGAGGATGCTATCGACTTCCATAAAGATTTATAGCCTTGGAAACGCAAAGGGGCAGTTCTACTCTGCTCTATAGGGTTACTACGAGTCGGAATTGATTCGATGGCAGTGTTTGGTTTTGACTTTTAGTTTCATGCTAGGAACCCGTGACAGAATAAGTGTTACTTTGCGAGAGAGGGCTTTCCACACACAGTGCAAACTTTATTTTCTCTAAAGAGCCCCAAAAATTAATTCCGTATTTCCTGTTCTTTCAGAGCGCCTACAGATCCTAAGTCATCGCTGTATTTTAAACCTCCTGGAAATACAGCATACATACCTATAAATACACATTTTAAATGAATACTTATCATGATCGCTAAAAGACACCATGCTTGCTTGGTAAAGTAGAGAGGCAGCGGAAAAGAGGACGGCACTCACTCGACAAGGTGGATTGCCGCAGTGACTGCCACAATGGACTCAAACACAAGACCAAGGGGGAGGGGCGCAGGGCCGGGCAGGCTCTGTCGGGGGCACACAGCACTGCTGCGAGCTGGCCTGTCAGACGCTCTAGAGCCTGTGACAGCAGCAACCACCGCAACATGCGCTTTACAGGATAAATGAAGGAAAAGGAAACTAGGCCTGAGTCTCCCTCAAACCGTGTAGGACGCAACTAACAATGAGATTATAGATAATTTTAGAAAATGTTGTTGTTGATATTGGGGAAAACGTCTACTTCACAAAATCAGAGGATAAAAGAACCAGGATGAAAATAAGCAAACACACACACACACACACACACACACACACACACACACACACACACGAAAATAAGCAAACAGAAACAAAATCAATACAAGAATCTAAGACAAACGGGTGTCCTACGAGATTTTTAAAATAGAATACAGGGTCCTGAAAACTGAGTAGCAGAATGTCAATCTTTGCAAGCAATAAAGAGCAGAACCAGTAATGCAGACAGGGCAGGTAACCAGTAGTATGTCTGTCCAACTCACAAGACTGCCTGGAACTCGGGGCACAGGATAGAAGAAGATGAAAACAAGAGGGGGATGATGCGTATGGAGGTCGGCGAAGGGTCACCATTAATCCAGAGCAAGAAGCAGTGGACGAGAAGGCAGTCACTCCAAAGCATTGTCAGTCTCACTTCATGCCAACCATGTGCAGGATAGCGGGGATTCAGCCTTGGAAAAAATGGACTGTGACTTGTTCTTATGAGACTCGGTAGTGTGGAATGAACATGCTCTGGACTTACAGACAAACCTGTGTAGGTTAAGTGAAAGGAGAGTAACATGAGAGGAAGATGGAGACACTTTTAAGATTTTGAGAGAGAAAAAAGTGCACTACCAAGGATGTGCGAATGGCACAGCGAAGCAAATGGGTGCTGTATGGTGGAAGCCGCAGATCTTGGAAAGTACTACGCGGGCACTCTTGCCGACAAATATTTACTCAAAGATGGTCTTCTGGCATCAGCAAAGTGAGTCAAGATTAGCAATGGAAAAAGCAAACCACACTAGAAATGGTGATAGACAGGGGACTTTGGAGTTTTTTAAAACACAGAGTGAAAACTCAATCTAGGGATATGTCAGGTCTAACACGGTGGATCTTTAGTAACCAGAAAGTTCAGAGAGGTGATACACAAATAAGGGCTGATGTAGGTGAAATGCCCCTCACATTGGAGATGCTAAGGGGATTGGGGTGAGAATGGTCGAGCGGTGATTTTTGGCCCGATCTGCATCTAGGCACGTGGCTGGCCCAGCCGTCAGCTCGCTGCGGCGGAGCCAGGCCTTCCCTGAAGTTTGACTTGCCCGCTGCCGTGGTTTCCACTGTCTGCATCAGACGGACTACAGGTAAGGAAGCCCCAGGAGCAGTTCTGCTCTCTTCAGTGGGGTGGCTCTGTGGGGAAAAGCTGGCACCGGATAGCAACGGTAAGGGACCTCGTGGGGCACGGCATTCGGCGGCCAACCACAAGGTCAACTGTTGGACTCATCAGCTCCTCCCAGCGAGAAAGATGTGGCTCTTTACGCCCCGGCAAGAGTGACAGTCTCCGCAGCCCACAGGGGCCGCTCTGCTCTGTCCGATGGGGTTACCGGGTGTCCGAATGGACTTGTTGGTAGTGGGTTAGGCTTTTGGAGTAGCACCAATGACGAGACCTCTGCTGCGCTCTTTCCCACATCACCGTCCTTACAGATGGACCACAGCAGGGGGTTCTCACCAAATCCATCTGAGCTTCAAATCCATCAAACCTAGGGCATGTCTTTGTGCTCTGAAACGAGGCTCCTTAAGCGCTCGACTGCTAACCAGCTGCTCTTTGAGAAAAAGCGGAGGCTTGTAAGGATTTATAGCCTCAGAAACCAACACTGTGAATTGGAATGGACTCAGTGGCCGTGGTTTCTGGTTTGGATAAGACGAAAGTCTATATATGATGTATGATTAGAAATACATGTCTACAATTGAACGGTCAGTCAACTCACTCATCACCTGGCAATTTTTATTCATTTTATTCATTGACTCTCTACAGCTACATTTTACGTTTTGCAAAACCTGGAGTTCTAAGTATTTGCATGACAAATAATACTGTGTAAGGAAATACAAAGATATCTAATACTAAGTGATAAGTTTCCCATTATTATAATTACTTTCTAACATGTATATTGCTTTTCTTCAATTACCCAATCCCCTAAAATCCACTGCTATTGAGGCAATTCCACTCACAGCAACCTTATATGGTCCTTCTGATTCTATAAATCTTCACAGGAGCAGACAGCCTCATCTTTTTCCTGAGAAGGGGCTGATGGGTTTGAACCAATGACCTTGCAGGCAACTGTCCAACGCTCAGCTGCAAGTGCCTCCAGGGCGCTTTCTTTAACTACAGGATAGATAATACTGAGGAGGAATGGCCGAGGGCACTGAGAGGGTTCCCTGTGTATGTCTGGCTCCTCAGTGTGAGAGAAGTTGGGAAATTACTCCTCTTCAGGTTTCATAAACCTCACAGGACACTTGGCCAATGCTTTGCAAAAGCATAAGCTAAACTGAACATTATTAATTGGAGGATAACAGGGCTGGCTTCTT